CATTCTTGTGTATTTATAAGAAAAAAGGATGCAGAGCTGTTTGATCTGTGGAACTAAATGTACATTTGTTCTGTGTGACTGGGGGCAGAAATAAATGTTATTACCACTAGCCTACAGGGCACTTCTACCCCCTTCCTGCCTACAGGGCACTTCTACCCCCTTCCTGCCTACAGGGCACTTCTACCCCCTTCCTGCCTACAGGGCACTTCTACCCCTTCCTGCCTACAGGGCACTGTCACCCCCTTCCTGCCTACAGGGCACTTCTACCCCCTTCCTGCCTACCGGGCACTTCTACCCCCTTCCTGCCTACCGGGCACTTCTACCCCCTTCCTGCCTACAGGACACTTCTACCCCCTTCCTGCCTACAGGACACTTCTACCCCCTTCCTGCCTACAGGGCACTTCTACCCCCTTCCTGCCTACAGGGCACTGTCCCCCCCAGGGCACTGTCCCCCCTTCCTGCCTACAGAACACTTCTACCCCCTTCCTGCCTACAGGGCACTTCTACCCCCTTCCTGCCTACAGGGCACTTCTACCCCCTTCCCGCCTACAGGGCACTTCTACCCCCTTCCCGCCTACAGAACACTTCTACCCCCTTCCCGCCTACAGGACACTTCTACCCCCTTCCTGCCTACAGGACACTTCTACCCCCTTCCTGCCTACCGGACACTTCTACCCCCCCCTTCCTGCCTACAGAACACTTCTACCCCCTTCCCTTCTACCCTACAGGACACTTCTACCCCCTTCCTGCCTACAGGGCACTTCTACCCCCTTCCTGCCTACCGGGCACTTCTACCCCCACTCCTGCCTACAGGGCGCTTCTACCCCCTTCCCCCACCCCTGCCTACAGGGCGCTTCTACCCCCTTCCCGCCTACAGGGCACTTCTACCCCCTTCCTGCCTACAGGGCACTGTCACCCCCTTCCTGCCCACTGGGCACTTCTACCCCCTTCCTGCCTACAGGGCACTTCTACCCCCTTCCCGCCTACAGGACACTTCTACCCCCCCACCCGCCTACAGGACACTTCTACCCCCTTCCTGCCTACAGGGCACTGTCACCCCCTTCCTGCCTACAGGGCACTTCTACCCCCTTCCTGCCTACAGGGCACTGTCACCCCCCCTTCCTGCCCACTGGGCACTTCTACCGGCACTTCTACCCCCTTCCCCCTACAGGACACTTCTACCCCCTTCCTGCCTACAGGGCACTGTCACCCCCTTCCTGCCTACAGGGCACTTCTACCCCCTTCCTGCCTACAGGGCACTGTCACCCCCTTCCTGCCCACTGGGCACTTCTACCCCCTTCCTGCCTACAGGCACTTCTACCCCCCTTCCCGCCCCTTCTACCCCCTTCCTGCCTACAGGGCACTTCTACCCCCTTCCTGCCTACAGGGCAATCTACCCCCTTCCTGCCTACCTGCACTGTCCCCCCTTCCTGCCTACAGGACACTTCTACCCCCCTTCCTGCCTACAGGGCACTTCTACCCCTTCCTGCCTACAGGGCACTGTCACCCCCCCTTCCTGCCTACAGGACACTTCTACCCCCTTCCTGACACTTCTACCCCCCTTCCTGTCTACAGGCACTTCTCCCCCTTCCTGCCTACAGGACACTTCTACCCCCTTCCTGCCTACAGGACACTTCTACCCCCTTCCTGCCTACAGGGCACTTCCCACTCACCCCCTTCCTGCCTACAGGGCACTTCTACCCCCTTTCCTGCCTACAGGGCACTTCTACCCCCTTCCTGCCTACTGGGCACTTCTACCCCCTTCCTGCCTACAGGGCACTGTCACCCTCTTCCTGCCTACCGGAACTTCTAACCCCCTTCCTGCCTACAGGACACTTTCTACCCCCTTCCTGCCTACAGGGCACTTCTACCCCCTTTCCTGCCTACAGAACACTTCTACCCCCTTCCCGCCTACAGGACACTTCTACCCCCTTCCTGCCTACAGGGCACTTCTACCCCCTTCCTGCCTACAGGACACTTCTACCCCCTTCCTGCCTACAGGGCGCTTCTACCCCCTTCCCGCCTACAGGGCACTTCTACCCCCTTCCCGCCTACAGGGCACTTCTAACCCCCTTCCTGCCTACAGGGCACTGTCTACCCCCCCCCTTCCTGCCCACTGGGCACTTCTACCCCCTTCCTGCCTACAGGGCACTTCTACCCCCTTCCCGCCTACAGGACACTTCTACCCCCTTCCTGCCTACAGGGCACTTCTACCCCCTTCCTGCCTACAGGGCACTTCTACCCCCTTCCTGCCTACAGGGCACTGTCTACCCCCTTCCTGCCTACAGGGCACTTCTAACCCCTTCCTGCCTACAGGGGCACTTCTACCCCCTTCCTGCCTACAGGGCACTTCTACCCCCTTCCTGCCTACCGGCACTTCTACCCCCTTCCTGCCTACAGGGCACTTCTACCCCCTTCCCGCCTACAGGACACTTCTACCCCCTTCCTGCCTACAGGACACTTCTACCCCCTTCCTGCCTACAGGGCACTTCTACCCCCTTCCTGCCTACAGGGCACTTCTACCCCCTTCCTGCCTACAGGACACTTCTACCCCCTTCCTGCCCTACAGGGCACTTCTACCCCCTTCCTGCCTACAGGGCACTGTCTACCCCCTTCCTGCCTACAGGACACTTCTACCCCCTTCCTGCCTACAGGGCACTTCTACCCCCCTCCCTGCCTACGGACACTTCTACCCCCTTCCTGCCTACAGGGCACTTCTACCCCCTTCCTGCCTACCGGACACTTCTACCCCCTTCCTGCCTACAGGACACTTCTACCCCCTTCCTGCCTACAGGGCACTGTACCCCCTTCCTGCCTACAGGGCACTTCTACCCCCTTCCTGCCTACAGGGCACTTCTACCCCCTTCCTGCCTACAGGGCACTTCACCCCCTTCCTGCCTACAGGGACTTCTACCCCCTTCCTGCCTACAGGACACTTCTACCCCCTTCCTGCCTACAGGGCACTTCTACCCCCTTCCTGCCTACAGGGCACTGTCTACCCCCTTCCTGCCTACAGGGCACTTCTACCCCCTTCCTGCCTACAGGGCACTGTCACCCCCTTCCTGCCCACTGGGCACTTCTACCCCCTTCCTGCCTACAGGGCACTTCTACCCCCTTCCTGCCTACAGGACACTTCTACCCCCTTCCTGCCTACAGGACACTTCTACCCCCTTCCTGCCTACAGGACACTTCTACCCCCTTCCTGCCTACAGGGCACTGTCACCCCCTTCCTGCCTACAGGGCACTTCTACCCCCTTCCTTCCCGCCTACAGGGCACTTCTACCCCCTTCCTGCCTACAGGGCACTGTCACCCCCTTCCTGCCTACAGGGCACTTCTACCCCCTTCCTGCCTACAGGGCACTTCTACCCCCCTTCCTGCCTACAGGGCACTTCTACCCCCTTCCTGCCTACAGGGCACTTCTACCCCCTTCCTGCCTACAGGGCACTTCTACCCCCTTCCTGCCTACAGGACACTTCTACCCCCTTCCTGCCTACAGGCACTTCTACCCCCTTCCTGCCTACAGGGCACTTCTACCCCCTTCCTGCCTACAGGGCACTTCTACCTACCCTTCTTCCCCTGCCTACAGGGCACTTCTACCCCCTTCCTGCCTACAGGGCACTGTCTACCCCCTTCCTGCCTACCGGGAACTTCTACCCCCTTCCTGCCTACAGGGCACTTCTACCCCCTTCCTGCCTACAGGGCACTTCTACCCCCTTCCTGCCTACAGGGCACTTCTACCCCCTTCCTGCCTACAGGGCACTTCTACCCCCTTCCTGCCTACAGGACACTTCTACCCCCTTCCTGCCTACAGGGCACTTCTACCCCCTTCCTGCCTACCGGACACTTCTACCCCCTTCCTGCCTACAGGGCACTTCTACCCCCTTCCTGCCTACAGGGCACTTCTACCCCCTTCCTGCCTACAGGGCACTTCTACCCCCTTCCTGCCTACAGGGCACTTCTACCCCCTTCCTGCCTACCGGGCACTTCTACCCCCTTCCTGCCTACAGGGCACTTCTACCCCCTTCCTGCCTACAGGGCACTGTCTACCCCCTTCCTGCCTACCGGGAACTTCTACCCCCTTCCTGCCTACCGGGCACTCCCACCCCCTTCCTGCCTACCGGGCACTTCTACCCCCTTCCCCCTTCCTGCCTACCGGGCACTTCTACCCCCTTCCTGCCTACCGGGCACTTCTACCCCCTTCCTGCCTACAGGGCACTTCTACCCCCTTCCTGCCTACAGGGCACTTCTACCCCCTTCCTGCCTACCGGGCACTTCTACCCCCTTCCTGCCTACCGGGCACTCCCACCCCCTTCCTGCCTACCGGGCACTTCTACCCCCTTCCTGCCTACCGGGCACTGTCACCCCCTTCCTGCCCAGGCCAATTTCCAGCTTTCAGCGCTGTCACACTTTGAGTTACAATTGCGCAGTCATGCAACACTGTACCCATATGAAATTTTTATCTTTTTTTTTGTGACAGATAGAGCTTTCTTTTGGTGGTATTTAATCACCTCAGGGTTTTTTATTTTTTCTTAAACAAACCAAAAACCACTGAAAATTTTTTTTTTTAAAAATGTTTTTTCTTAGTTTTTGTTATAAAATTTTGTAAATAAGTGATTTTTTTCTCCTTCACTGATGTGCGCTAATGAGACTGCAGTGATGGGCACTGATAGGCTGCACTGATGGACACTGATAGGTGGCACATGATGGGGACTGATGAGGAGACACTAGTAGGTGGCACTGATGGGCATTGACAGGCATCACTGATGGGCACTGATAGGTGGCACATGATGGGGACTGATGAGGAGACACTGGTAGGTGGCACTGATGGGCATTGACAGGCATCACTGATGGGCACTGAAAGACAGCACTGACACATGACACTGATATATGGCACTGATAGGCTGCACTGATGGACACTGATAGGTGGCACATGATGGGGACTGATGAGGAGACACTGGTAGGTGGCACTGATGGGCATTGACAGGCATCACTGATGGGCACTGAAAGGCAGCACTGATACATGACACTGATATATGGCACTGATATTCAGCACTGATACATGACATTGATATATGGCACTGATAGGCGGCACTGACTGGCACTGATAGGCGGCACTGACTTGCACTGTTAGGCGGCATTGACTGGCACTGTTAGGCGGCACTGACTGGCACTGATAGGTGGCACTGATGCACACTGATAGGCGGCACTGATGCACACTGATAGGCGGCATTGATAGGTGGCACTGACTGGCACTGATGGATGACACTGAAAGGCAGCTCAGATGGGCACTGATATGTGGCATTGATGTGCACTGGTATGCACTGGCACGTGACACTGATCGGCACTGACAGCTGGCACTGATGGACTTTGACAGGTGGCACTGCTGGGGCTACACTGATCATCAGTGCCCTGATGATCAGTGTACATGTCCCCTCCGCGGAATGCCGATTACCGGCTCTCCTCTCCTCTGTCAGCGTGACGGCTCGAGAGGAGAGAAATGCCGATAACCGGCATTTCCGTGTTTACATGTGATCAGCTGTGATTGGAGACAGCTGATCACATGACCGAGCCAACATCTTTGGCTCTTTCCGAGATCGGTGATCCGCTGTGTCCGAGGGACACAGCGCACCGCTGATCGCGGCGCTGCGAGCTCCTTGAGCCGCGCATGCATAGTGAGAATGGGAGGACGTCATATGACGTCCTCTCAGAACGAGAGAACCACCTTGCGCCCATCATTGGACTATATGGCGGGCGGGAGGTGGTTAAGCCAGCTTATTTCCAGGTTGAATGTTATCTATTCATACTGATTAGAGTGAAACAGGAAAATACCACATTATGGCCACTAGAAGGAGCTGATGATTGTACCAGTGAAGTACTTATTTCCTGCATATGACCATTAGCTCCATCCATGGGCCATCATTTTCCTGATTTATGCTATTCTGTATGAATGAATAATAATCAACGTAGAAAGAAGTAGCCTAATAACATTTGACTTTGCCCAGTTCACACAGAATGCAGCTTCAAGAGACAAATAGATCTACATTTTCATAAATACACCCCAATGTGTTCTCACAGGTATATTGTTGTTTGTGTTTCTATTTGTTGTTTGGATGAATGCAGTGAATGGTGTGTAGCGCACTCCTCCAGTTAGGCGGTCAGGTTAAATTTAGTTCTTGGCTTCACTGGAGCTGTGATTGATTGTGTTGGTCTGTTTGGGGTTTCCTGAGCTGAGAGTTTGATCTCTCCCACCTGCCTCTGAAAGACATTTCCAAGGCTGGGAGATTTCAATTAGCAGCATGAATATTTGTCCTGATGCCCTGGACAATCCCTAGAAGGAGGTGTTCAAAGGGTGGCTGGGGAGGTGATAAATGGGATGCATTTCTTTTCCCTCAGGTAAGGGTTCCGGTTCTCTTGGGGCTGCTGCTCCTGGAGGCAACTCTACTGAGACAAGAAATTGCAGGAGCTGGGCTGAGGGTCTGGAAAAGATTGGCAGTGGATGTTTGCTGGAGGGTACTGCATTGAAGTCCTTTTCTGGAGAAGGGTTCTGTTATCTCCCTTGGTGAGGATCTACCTGTGGATGGTGGGTGGCAGACAGCTCCTGGGACACTGAGAGTAAAGACCTGATCAGGGACTATTAGTTGTGCAAAGTGCCAAAAGGGGACTAACTTTAAGACGGTCACGTGACAAACAAGGTGCCCAACCCCTGCCCTTCTCATCAACTCCTGAAAAAGGACCAGCCAATCTCCCACCACGCTGTCACTTGCATAACAATGCCACTCTCAGTTGAACCCTGCACAGAGATTTTCAGCTCTATGTGCCAGCAGCCTGAGAGTGATTGTCACTGGGTTACTTAATTAAGCAATTAACTCTTTAAACTGCACCACCACCTTGTTACTGAGAAGAAGGAATCTCACAATCGTAGCAATAACACTAAGATTTTAGTATAAACATCTGCAACACACACTGTCACCACAGACAGGGATATTCAGAGGATTATTATCAGTAGCACGCTTCCATAGACAGGGATTCTTTAGTTTTCATTAAAAGTCTTATATATATAGAGATATAGAGAGTTTTAACACTTTTCAAAATTGGGTTTATTAATGAAAAGGTCAAATGGTGCAAAAAATAAAATATTTACAGAAAGGGATGTTACAAAGACATAAAGAGAAACAATAATGCAAGAGAGAAATAAAAGAAAGGAGTTAAGAAGGCAGAATACTTGCAAAGTCCTTGGTTTTAGCAGAATCCAGTTGTTCAAGCAAAAAACGTTGCCTTGGCTCTCAAGTCCATTAAGATGTTCCTTGGTTGATGTTAAACGAGAGCTCACTTACTAGATCCAGTCAGTCCATTTTCTGTGATATCAAAGAGATGTTGCCAGAGAACAACTAACCAATAATTCGGTTTAAGGGATGGGTGCTGGGAGGCCACCATGTTTATGACCAATTTCCAAATACAGTTTTACACTAATATTAATAACTTCCAATACGTGCAGGTAGTATTCTAGGAAATGGCAGAATATTATTCAGAATTATATTTTGAACCCAGGGATACCAAACACAGCGTACCTTTGTCACCCAGGAGGGAAGAGACTGCTTTCTTCCCTTTCCTATGTGCTAACATAGTCATGTATGATCTTGATTTGTCTGGTATGATATTGCCTAATATTAATATGTCCTGTTCATGTTGAATTCTATGAATTGTATGTGGAATTGTTACATTGTGGAATAGTTTTATGGCACTCACTGCTTTCCTAGAGCCTTAATGGCCTTACAGGTCATGTGTGCCGGCTTGACTGACTTATTATTTTTTATGATGGGCAGAAGAAAGTGTTTTTCGTGTGGTTCATGGAATCAGACATTCTACCAAGACTAATTAGCTGTTTACAGCTCTGGCCAGGTCTGGACATTGCTGTCTATTTGTGTTTTAATTAAGATAAGAGGTTCTTTTGAAGTTGGTTAAAAAGATACAGCTACAAATTGCATAGTTTTCACGGAGGGAGGAGTAGGAACACTGCTCACAAGACCTTAACAAGATGGCTGTCGTGTACAGCTTCCATGTCTCTATTGCGCACAATCGTTACAGGTCGTATATTGATCGAACATGAGCTGGTTCAGCAGGGACGATCTGAGATTTGATCCATGCATGCGCAGACTGATTGTTCAGTCTCACATCCGGTACAATTTCTTGCACTCAATTACTGCTGGTGGCTGATTGGGAATTTGCAAGTTACATATTTCCTTATTAATGTTGGCCTCACAAATGTCTATGAATGCCTCCAAGCTTTGGTTAAAGGGCTATACGAGGACAAGGTCTGATTACCTTAAATAACAAAGGAATGTGACTACTTGGACAAGCCAAGACAGACCACTGCTCTCCTTTTTGTTTGCCTGGGGGGTGGGTTGTCCATTGCTTACACTTAGGTCCAGTATATAACACACAGCTAGACTGCAGATATTTGTCTTGAACTAGATCATGTGATAAGCACCAGATTGTGACTGCACCATTTTTAGTAAGTCCCCCCCTATGTGTCCAATCACACATAGGCATCTACAGATGTTCTGAGGGAGAACAAAATCCAGGACCAGCATATTCAGGAGAGAAGTGTTTCAGTGTAAAAAAAGCCTGATGCACCTGAACATATGTAAACGCATGTCAACACTGAGTGCATTTAGAACTCCAGAGCACTCATTCATTTTAATGGAGAAAATAAATTAATATTTTGGGCAATGAAATGATTGATCACCAAAATGCTTGACGCACCTAAAGGCATTTGAAAAATTGCAGCTTTTAGGTGTGTTTTTATGCTGCTTTGTCCTGCTAGGAGGAAGCCGTTTAGAAGAGTTACAGCGTACATGAGGCCTAATAGCAGGTCGATCCTTTCTTCTGGAATGTGAACTTGATGAAAGAAGTTCCCCCAACCCTCATAAGCCATTCAAAGATCCTCACCAAAACCAATTCTGTAAAGTTGCTGGTTTTTCGGGATTAAAGAGTGAACAGAAAATGCAGCAGTAACCCAGACACTATCTCTTTAAGAGTTTGCTGACCCCATATCTTGGTTTTGTCAGCAGACTCGCCCACAGCAAAGGACCAGAAATCAAACTGCAAACATGTAAATTCTTCTAAATCTCTTCTATTGTCCAGTATATTCTACAGTGTGTGTACTCAGGAACTCATTGGGTTGCATTGTACTGAGGTTGTTTGCTTTTCAGCCCTTGGCGTGGGTGGGTATAGGAGGGTGTAATATACATAGGTGGGTATAGGAGGGTGTAATATACATGGGTGGGTATAGGAGGGTGTAATATACATGGGTGGGTGTAGGAGGGTGTATCATACATGGGTGGTGTAGGAGGGCGTATTATACATGGGTGGGTATAGGATGGCATATTATACATGAGTGGGTATAGGAGGGTGTAATATACATAGGTGTGTATAGGAGGGTGTAATATACATAGGTGGGTATAGGAGGGTGTAATATACATGGGTGGGTATAGGAGAACGTATTATGCATGGGTGGGTATAGGAGGACCTATTATACATGAGTGGGTATAGGAGGATGTAATATACATGGGTGGGTATAGCAGGATGTAATATACATGAGTGGGTATAGGAGGATGTAATATACATGGGTGGGTATAGGAGGGTGTAATATACATGGGTGGGTATAGGAGGGTGTAATATACATGGGTGGGTATAGGAGGGTGTAATATACATGGGTGGGTATAGGAGGGTGTAATATACATGGGTGGGTATAGGAGGGTGTAATATACATGGGTGGGTATAGGAGGGTGTAATATACATGGGTGGGTATAGGAGGGCATATTATACATGGGTAGGTAAAGGAGGGAGTATTATACATGGGTGTGTGTATAGGAAGGGCGTATTATACATGGGTGGGCATAGAAGGGCATATTATACATGAGTGGGTATAGGAGGGTGTATTATGCATGGGTGGGTATAGGAGGTTGTAATATACATGGGTGGGTATAGGAGGGTGTAATTTACATGGGTGAGTATAGGAGGGTGAAAAATACATGGGTGGGTATAGGGGAGGGTGTAATATACATGGGTGGGTATGGGGTGGGGGAGGGTGTATTATACATGGGTGGGTATGGGAGGGTGTATTATACATGGGTGGGTATAGGATGGGTGTATTATACATGGAGGGTATGGAGGGTGTATTATACATGGGTGGGTATAGGGAGGGTGTATTATACATGGGTGGGTATAGGGGGGTGTATTATACATGGATGGGTATGGGAGGGTAGATTATACATGGGTGGGTATGGGAGGGTGTATTATACATGGGTGGGTATAGGAGGGCGTATTATAAATGGGTGGGGTACGGGAGGGTGTAGTATACATGGGTGGGTACGGGAGGGTGTATTATACATGGGTGGGTATAGGAGGGTGTATTATACATGGGTGGGTACAGGAGGGTGTAGTATACATGGGTGGGTACGGGAGGGTGTATTATACATGGATGGGTATTATACATGGAGGGTGTAGGGTTATACATGGGTGGGTATGGGAGGGTTTATTATACATGGGTGGGTATAGGGGGGTGTATTATACATGGATGGGTATGGGAGGGTAGATTATACACATGGGTGGGTATAGGAGGGCGTATTATAAATGGGTGGGTACGGAGGGTGTATTATACATGGGTGGGTACGGGAGGGTGTATTATA